TGCTTTTTCTTCTTTCCAATCCCCTCCCTCTCTCCCATCATTTCTCTCAGTCCTTTCTGCTCTCCTGTACCCCTGGAGGTCGAAGGATCTCAGCTACCACCTTCATTCTTTTCACCCAAACTCCTTTCTCTCTGCCACTCGGGACAGACTTGCAGCTCCTCCTGGCTTGTTCATCTCATCCTGGGGCTGCCTTTGGGCACTGGGTGCTTGGGCTCAACTGGAGGCCAAGGCATGGCATCCTCCTTGCTGGGGGTGTTCAGGGCATGGCTGTTGGGCATCAGCCTGTCCTGGCGCTCTTTCTGCAGGCTCAGCTCACTGTAGGCATGTTCACTGTGTCCCCTTGCTCCGGCTCCATTGGTCCTTGGGGCCAGCAGAAGATCACAGTGGATTGCAATGCAGGAGCAGAGGGGAAATGTGAGGAGCAGCTGTACATCGACATCAGCAACAGAGACCCCAAGGACAATCCCCTCGGCATTCCCTTTACCCTGACTGCCGAGTCCTGCTTCCCAGGTACATACTGTCCACAGGTTGCCGTGGGCAGTCCTGCTGATGATCAGCACCTAAACTTGCTACTTGGATAGAGAGGCACCCTGGTCCTGAAGTCCCACCTTAAAATCCTCAGAGGCTGCAGTCCTTTTCAAGTCCACCAGTGGGGAGAGGCTGGGAGGGATGTGTGGAAGCATAAAAGGAAAGCAGTGCCCTTTAAGACTGAGGTTGACTGAGCTCCATCCTCACTGACTGAGCTCTCTCATCCAAGGCTGGGTTTTGCAGTCACCTGGACAGAAAGGGCTTATCAAGCCTTCTGAGAGGCCAGCTGGGTCCAGGTAAATTCAGCAAAGAGGTTCTCTAGCCTCAACCCTTCCTCTGGTCTGTCTGCAGCGCTTGTTGAAGACGTCACGTCCATCTTTGAGCAGTACCCGATCCACAGCAACGTCAATCTCTGCCAGACGTTACAGTCGGTGCAAGGCAACGGTGTGTTCATCAGAGATGATAACAAATTCATCTTCACCAAAGTTCAGGTTGGGCAACGGGCCACGGCTCGCTTCAAGATCTCTAATGGCAGCAGTGTCCCATGTGACGTGGTCCTCTCCATCAAAGCCTTGCCTGGAGAGGTAAGAACAAGAGGCCAAGGTGAGCGCTGCTCTCTAAAGGCCATGTGAGAGCCTGCCTTGTTCTCCAGAGTCATTGCGTTCTCTGGCCCAGCTGGACCAGCCCAGCTCAGGGCAGGTCGAACTGCAGGGCAGAGCAGCAATGCCAGGGGGGCACTTGCATTGAATTCCACATCTCTCAAGCAAATTTTGGCTCATGCTTCTGGGTCTTTGGTGGGAATCCTTCTGAACATCTCTCGAAAGCACACTCAGAGAGGGGCTGTTAAGGATATACTGGGTCACATTGAAAGATGTTTCCTCCTAACACCGCACTGTGGGTTCCCCCCAAGCCTCACAGCCTCATCAGCAACATCTTCAAGCTGGATCCTGTTGAGATGAGCATTCCTGGCTTATCCCACACCTTTGCTACAGTGACCTTCACTCCAGAACAAAAGGAAGACTACCAGTGCACTTTTACAGCTTCTCTTGTTATCCCAAAAAGGTAGTGACCCTGTGAAGTATTGGGGGGACCGTTCTGGTAACTGCCTCTCCTCTTGGTACCTCTAATGCTTTCAGTACACTTAGGCAGAGTACTTGACATGAGATGATCTGGGAGGCAGTAACTGTTAGGCAGAGCAGAGCAGAAAAATGAGGAGAATACTTCAGCCTGTGTGAGGGACTGAAGAGAGGGCCTTAGGTAGCCAGCTGGAAGTTACTGAGAAGTGCAACAGCTGAGCTGGGACTTTCCAAGGCCAAAGGCTCAGATGAAGCAGTTTCTGTGCCAGCAAGTCAAGATTTCCTCCCTATTTCTGTAAAAGGAAGTGATCCTGTGTGGTTCCCTGGCATGTATTAAGCTATTTTTATATCAGGAGAGTGACTGGAGCTCTTATCAAAGAGAAGCCTGGTTCTTCTCCCTGGGACCTGTGTACTGGGGCTCTGACCTGCCCTTCCCCAAGCCTTTAGTGGCTGAATTGGAACAGGGAAGTCAGTTTTCTGCCCTAACAAGCAATTCCTTTTTTAGGATCCTTGGAAATAATCTTTACTGACGGTGCTGTTGATTTGGTTTTTCCTTCTTGCTTTCGTACTGTTCTCATGGTGTGCTTTTGCTTGTTGCATATGTCTCCTATCACTGCAGCCAGAGGATTTACCACGTCTCATCTGGTGCCTCATTATTTATCTGCTGTACAGTATGATTCAAATGAGGGAAATTATTTAGAACTGTTATTCTGGAAGGCTCTGGCTGAAATGGTTTCTGTGCCTCTCCAGCAGCTCCGTGAAGATGAAACCCCAACAGCTGACCTTCACTGTCAGTGGAGAGGGGCACGTGCCTCAGGTGACAGTCGAGTGCCCGGGCCTTGGGAGTAAGAGAGGAACCCCTGTGCTGCGCTTCAGGAGGCTCCTGCTGGGGGATTCACAGACACTCCCCCTGGTCCTTCGTAACAATGGCATCGTACCCACAAAGGTAAGGACCTGCTCAGGGAATGCTCTGGGCTGGGAACAAGTGCTTGTCCTGTGGAGGAAAGGTCCCAGAAAATATGATTTTCAGTCCAGTCTGTCCTTGTCAGTTGAACACAAGACAAGAAAGGTGGTGGGGTGTTTTTCCCCCCATCTCCCCGCTCACATTTTGTTCTCATGTGGGCGTGTGTGACGTCCCAGTTCCATGAGATTGCATTTGATACTGGTTGACTCCATTTTAATTAAACTTATTTGTGGTTTCATTACATTCTGCTCGTGACTTACTGTCCTGTTTGGCTCTATGTCAGTTCTATCCATATGCTTCTGAACACTCTTTTTTCCCTGTGTGACTTCACGTAACCTTTGTGCTGGCTGCTGTGTTTGAGGTGGGGAGGTGGTCTGAGCTCCCCATGCTGGACCAACAGCCGTACAGGCTCAACCCACGTGCCAGCCTCTACTCACACCAATGTCATTGTGCTCTGTGTTCCCTTTTCTCAGTTTACAGTACAAGTAATGGATGAACAGGGAGTTTTCTTCCTGAAAGGCAGGCAGTCTGCACTCCATGCCTTCCACACTGCAGACATGGAAGAGAACTCCACTGGAAAAGGTAAATTCATTAACCATGCAGCATGATCATTCACAGAGGGAAAAGGTGTGCCCTGCTCTTGGCTTGTCTAAGCAGCAGCCACATGTTAGACATAGCTTCTTTCCTTGGTCTCTCTGTCCCTCGAGCTTTTCTTGTGGACTCCTTGCAGGATTTCCTCCTAGCAAGTTGTAGGAAGTTTTTCTGTTCTTCGAGACATGGTGGGTTGAGTTGTGGGGGACTATCACCACCTCAATAGACTGGCTGAGGTCTTTGTTATGTGTGGGAAGGTACCAGCCTGAACAGGGGCAGCCTTTGAGTGCACAAGCCAGCCAGCAGAAGCCAAAACCACTCCTTGGCTCAGCCTTCTGTATGGCGGGAGCTGACTGGAAGCAGATGGAATGAGGGCTGGGCATTAACCTGAGGTTAAACCGTTTAAGTGGTGATACGTGTGATGGTGGCATAGTCTTTTGAACACAGGAAGAGGGTCTGGAACCACTGGTGGGAGAACCTGTGCTTAGAAGCAACTGATTCCAACCTCTTATTCCTCGTATACTCCAGGGAAATATTTCCTCTGTACAGCTCTATCACTTAACTCTGATTCCCATTGCCGTGCAGCCAAGAAGCATCCCAAGAAGCCTTACCTGCTCCTGGAACACAGCCAATCAGCAGAGTTTGACGTGTTTTTCAAACCCACCCTGACCCAACGTCTGGAAGGGAAGATCCATGTGGCACTGTCAGGCAACAGTGAGATCGACATAGAGCTGGTGGGTGAAGGCTACGATGATGACTTCACCCTTGATAACCTCCATGGACTAGCAGAAGACAGCAAGGAGAGCAATACTAAGGGTAATCTGGAGGACAACATCATTGAGGGTAAGAGAGGAGAGGCTGCCAAGGTAGAGCGAGGAAGAGGAAAATGTCTGATCATGCGTGTCCTCTCTCTAGCCAGGGCTGGCTGTCACCCACTGGACTTGGGGGCCTGTGAGCTTGCCAGCCGTGCACACAGAGCAGTGTGTGCTGTGCTGCTTGTTGCTGGGCACAGGCACAGCCACGGGCTTGGGGACCTCCCAGAGGGAGGGAGGGAGGCTTGGAGCAAGGAAGAGCTGAACATACATGCGTCTCTGAAAGTGAGGGGGGCGGATGGACCTCACTGCATGCTGAGATCTCTTGCTCTCCTTCTTCACAGCTGTCAGAGCGAATCACATTGAGTTTGGGGAGTGTGCAGTCAGGGAGCTCTGCGACAAGACCTTCACAGTCACCAACCGCAGCAAGGAGGAGGTGATGCGGTTTGAGTGGCTGCTGGTAGACGCCCCATTCCAGTTCTCCCCCAAGGTGAGCTGGGACAGCCCTGCCTTTCTCAGTTGCTCACGCCCTTTCCTGGTGTTCCTGAGAGCTGGCAGGGAATCACCACATACCAGTGAGAGCCCATTCCAGTGCCATGCAGGAGATGCAGTCCCTGGCTTTGCTGGGGCAGGGCTGTCAGACCAGCAGAAAAGGCTCCACGTTCTGGGAGGTGGCACCTTCTGTTCATACTTTGCTCTATCAAATCTCACATAAATCCTCACTGAGCTGCTGATTCCCAGCACAGCTGCTCACCATATCAGTCCCTTTTGCTGTCAGTGCTGCCCTTGCCAGTGATTCCAGTTTGGTCTTGACTCTGGTTCTCCCTAGGTGGGACACCTCCAACCTGGCTGTGCCAAGGATATCAGAGTGACCTTGAAATCCAACGTCCCGGTCACCTTCAAAGGGCACTCCGTTAAGTGTAAGGTGGCCAAGATCAAATACCAGCTGCCACCAGAGGAGGTTTATGACTGGGACAACGAAATGTGCACTGAGAAGTGGGAGGATACCACCGAGAGAGTCCCAGGAGCCCGCTGGCCTTTGAAGCAGAAGGTAAGAAGCACAGCAACAAAAGCTAATCGAGCTGCTGCAAAAGGACCTGCCAACAGCAGCAGAGCACCAGCACTGCTGGCAGAGCAGCTCCTGCCTCCCCTGGGCATTGGCTCAGCCGGGAGGTGCACCAGCAGTGCCTTTTAGGGAGAGGCGGATGCGCAGTGAGCGGGTGCGCTCACACCACAGGGGGAAGCCTTTGGGCAAGAGACCTTTATCCACACGCAAACTGCCGGTCTGTGCCACGAGCCCAGTGTTGCAGCCTGTGTTGAATGGGAGGTCACGTTTGATTTTATCCCATTTTACAGTGTTAAAATCTCTTCATCTGATTCGGTGCCTTGTCACCCACAAGGAGTTAATTCCACTGCATTCTCTCTTGTTCTGAAGGGGAGAGCAGCACAAGTGCTCTTGTGCGTACACCGGTGAGCTCCGAGCTCTGCCTACACCGACACCAGAGATTTTGGTTGTGGCCTCTGTATTGTGGGGATATCTCATTATGGAGCAGCCCAGGCACTGTGTGACAGTATGCAGGAGTCTGGAGAAGCATCTTCTCCAGAAAGTCTTGCTTTTTCTATCATTATTGCCAAACACACCTATCTTGGTGAAGGTTCTTTCTGAGTTTCTGAACCACTGTGAGTCCTGTAAACCCAACTTCCCCATCAGGGCATCAGCAGTTGGAGACTTTCGCAGTGAGATCATTCACATCCCAAAATGCCCACAGCCAGCCCCCACCCCACATGTGCCATCTGGAGAGCACTTTCTCCTAAGACAAGAAGGAAAAAGTTCTCTCTAGGACTAGTCAGTCTTGGGCTTCTCCATCCACAGGGCTCCAGCAGGGAAACTTAATCCTAATGTTGAGACCTGCTAGATTTATACGGGACCAGAGAAAAGGTCAGAGGCTCTATAGGGTTGAAGCACAGGGACTGACAGCTGGCCATAATCCCCAGGGGTGTATTAATAGCCGTGGTGGTGACTGCTTTGATCAGTGGGTAGAAACCAATACTGTAGTACAACAGTCCAATTTTGTCATCTTTCCAGAGAAATAAACCTGAATGTCCTTTTGTGGTAGTTTGGTCTAGGCCTTCCTTGGTGACCAGTTTGTAACCAAGGAAGGGTCCAGATTTACCCAGTATTCCCTACGATTTTTACGTAAGCCGGACTATAATAAGAAAGGAGGAGAGACCTTTGCTCTCTCTTTCCTTCTGGCAGCTTAGAGGTGCAGGTTCCCTGCTGTTGAGTCTGTCGGGTTGGGGAGCGAGGCCTGGTTAGGCCTTGTCGACCTTGGGAGACAGAGGTTGCCGGTGATCATTCCAGAGCGAGTCTTGGTTGTCCCAAGGAGAGTAGTGAAATATTTCTTTGCTAACTTTTTTAGTTGCTAGATCTCGGGCTACTGATTGGGATATATATATATGTATTTTTTATTTTGGTTTTGTTCCTTTTCCCTTCCCCCTTCCCTTTCCCTTGTGAAATTGTATATATATTTCAACTGTAACATAAGTGTAAATATATTTATATATATTACTTTAGCTGTCTCTCTCTCATTTCGGATTTTCTTGATTGTTTTTCTCCCTCTTCTCCCTGAGGTTTGGGAGGGGGGGACTTCTTGCAGTAAGGTTTGGAGACTTGGCAGGGAGTCAGCTTCAAACCATATCACCTTTCTATGTGGCCAGGTTTGGAGGCCAAAAGATATCCCTGCTCAGCCTGGCTTTCTAGGCTCTGCTCAGTGATTTTTCCCTCCTCTGCCTGCAGGTGGTCAAGGCACTCCTGGAACCACCTCACACTGTCCTGAAGAGCAGCCACGAGGTCGAGCTTTTCCTCAGTGCTCAGGTTGACTACGCCGAGTTCAAACTGAACACGGTCGAGGTTCAACTGAAGCAGATTGAGCTCTTCCAGACAGAGATAAGCACGTGAGTGCTGGGCACTGTGTTGACCCTTTCCTCCTAAACTTCCAGTCTTTGAAATACTTTGTTTGGGCCACCCAGGGCAGCAATTCTGAATGTGGCAGAGTTGCCTGGGGAAGATGTTCCTTAGCGGAAGGTGGTACCGGAGCCCACCATACAGTGTTACTTTATTACATGCTTTTTATTTCTCCTCCTTTTTTTTCAGTTTCCAGATGTCCAATACAGGGAATGTAGCCCTGAAATACTGCTGGGAGGGGAATCTGGAGGAGGAAATACCATCAAAGAGTTCTGGGAAGCCGTTCTCGTCCACTCTGACACGCAAGTTATTAGCTCTGGGTGGTGCCCAGGCCATTTCAGTTGGTAGCTGAGGGCCTGGGGAGAAGACCCTGCCACTTCACACATTAATTGCTTTTTCATCCCTGTCCACTTCCCAGCTGCAACTGGAGAGTTTTCTCCTTACCCTCTCTCTGCCTATTAGCCTCTCCTGTTCTTGCTCTGCCACTTGTGCTCTGCACAGGAGCTGAGCCGGGCTCCAGGGACAGCCACGTACTGGGTCAGGACTGGGAAGGGGGACATCAGGGCACCTCTCTCTCTTTCGGAGACTGGGAAAAACAAGGGTGGAACAAGTGAGCTGCCCTGCAACCACTGCCTGTATGCAGTTCCCTGCTCCAGGGCAAATGCAAAGTCACTGTCTAAAACCAAGCCTCCTGCCCCGGCACGGGAGCATGTGCTGCAGGCAGAGACCCTGCTCCCAACCACTCTATCTCCTGCTGAAAGTACTTGGCCAGAGGTGCTTCAAGTGCATCTCAGCTCTCTTCTATCCACCTGCAGCAGGAAACAGAGTTGTTGGGAACAAAGGATTTTGTCTTTGAAAGATGTCCTCTTCCCTCTTCCAGGTTATTTCTTGTCCTCTGCTGCTGTGGATCACTGGTACGGGCATTGTACAAGGCAGATGCATGGGGCATCACCACTCAAGTCAACTCAGCCCCAGTCAGCTCAGCCCCAGTCAACTCAGCCCCAGCCAAGTCTGCGCCTTTCAAAGCAGGTGTGCCACTCTCTGAAGGGCCTTAGTTCCTCCCTGGAATTTTCTCCAATTCCCGTCAAGGACCCACCGCTGTTCTCCATCGAGCCCCACTGCGGTACCATCCCTGCTGGCCAGAATCAGATTTTCCACGTGAAATTCTGCCCGACGCATGTGGGGAAATTTAAGGCCGAAATGCTGTGCAGGTAGGAAATGTCCATGTGCTTTCCAATCCATGCTCCTGGTGGGTATCACAGGATGGACCATCTGGTGCACCCTCCCTGCTCAAGCAGGGTCATCCCAGAGCACATGGCACAGGATTGTGTCCAGAGGGTTCTGGAATACCTGCAGTGAGGGAGACTCCACACCCTCTCTGGACAACCTGTCACCTGCACAGGAAAGAAGTTCTTCCCCACGTTCAGGTGGAACTTGTTTTGCATCAGGTTCTGCCCATTGCCTCTTGTCCTGTTGATGGGCAGCACCAAGCAGAGCCTGGTCCATCCTCTGACACCCTCCCTTCAGTCCCTCTGACTGGGGTGGGTGAGTGTGCAGCCCTGGGGACAGCCAGCCCCAGAGAGGCAGCAGGAACACACAGCATACAGGAGCACAATAAGAAGCCTTGGCCAGATGTCCGTGGAGATGTCTATGGGTCTGTGTGGAGACAATGGGAAACACTAAGCTCCTGGAGGGCTGCAAAATCTGGAATGGGAGATCCAGAACGGCTGTCAAGGGGCCAGCCAGTCCCTAGCTATGCTTCCTTATGGGACAAGCACAGCCTCCTTCTCTACCTGGAACCCCGTGTGCTACAGTTGGTCCCCAGGCCCATAACTGGTTGTGATTCTGCCCTTCCACCTCTGCTACCTCCATGGCAGGGAATGCAGTTCTGTTTCATTTGCTGCTCGCTGCTTGCATGGAGAGAGGATGTGACACTGTGTGCTCTTTGAAGAGACAGGCGAGCAGCTGGCTGGTTGGAAATGTCCCTTTCTTCCTAGACTTCCTAACCTGAAGCCATCTCAGAAGAGCCCACGGGTGTTTGTGATGGGGAAAGGCTGTTTGCCGAAGGCTGATCTGAAACGCTCTACGTCACCACAAAAAGGTAAAACCCAGAGCAACAAACCCAAGAAGAAGGTGCAGCAGTCACCAAAATTAGAGTGACACCATTTGTGTCATGGCTTCTCCTGCTCATGGTTTCCCCGCCTTCAGCAGAGACCTCCCCAGCTACTCTTCAAACCCCAATACCCATCTCTACCTCATCTGTGTACTACCTAATAAACTGTGTCTCAACCCACGAGTTTTCTCACTGTTACTCTTCCAGTTCTCTCCCACCTCCCCAGGAGGGGAGTGAGCAGGTGTCTGTGTGGTGCTTGGTTGGAGCTGGGGCTCAGCCATCTCCAGGAAAGCAGCTGTGATCAGACATCACCCCCATTCCTCCGCAGGCTGCTCTGCTCTCTTAGGAATTCCCATTCCTTGGCCTTTGTGTGGGGTGGTGAAGTGTCCCTTGGTCACACCAGGAACTCTGCACGACTAATGTGAGAGCAGCACTGACTGTACCAGGAACTCCAGTTGCTTGGCTAAAGGCTGGGATGAAGGACAAGAGTGGCAATGATCAGTTATCCCCTGACAGCATTCCCTACCTGAACCGTAGCCCAAGGGAAGCGCTACCATTGCCTCAGTAATTATTACAATCCAAATTTCCTTGGGACTGGAAGGTTCAGCCTTCACTGTCCCTTGCTCTGTTGCCAAGGTACTTCCCAACTGTCTTGATTTAAAGAGACTGAAGTATTTTGCCAAGGACGATGAGTTATGAGGAAGACCAAACTCCTTTCTCTAAGCAATTGTAAAACCAAAATTAAGAGGCTCCAATTGAGGAAGTATGGAGAAAGAAAAAAAATAACAGCCCTTTATTAAAGGATATATGTACATTAGCAGAACAACAAAAGAACACAAAAAGAAAACAACCACAGAATAATCCTGTACCCAAAAATGCCCTTCCAAAAGGAAACAGTTCGGCATTTTCTGCCTTTTGGCGCCATTCTAACCACGGCCAGCAGGGGGCGCTGTTGAAGCACTGGAGGGGCGGAGCCTGCAGTGCTCTGTGGTGGCCGGCAGGGGGCGCTATTGGGCCCACTCTGGTGAGGGAGAAGCTGAAAATGGAGATTTCCCCCCCCACACACACAGATAAAGGGAAAATGGGAAAAAGGGGGCTCTTCCCACGAAACTCACGCTGTCTGCAGCTGGCTATGGCCGGGATTTCCCATCTTCCATCGATGGACACACTCTACTGCCAACACAGGAGTGGAGGAGGGAGCGGGCGACCTCCTCCCCAAAGGGTTCCTCTGCAGGTGGGTCAAACCTCTCTGATGAAATCCAAGCTGGGCTGGGGGCAGAACAGGGTGCAGGAAAGCAAAGACAAACCGGGGCCAGAAACAGTCAGATGACCAGGCCGAGAACAAAGTGAACCTCGGACCCCTCCAACTCATACCCTCCCTACAGTCAGGGCAAAAGTGAAGTGTCATTCCTCAAGGAGAGAGAAAAAAAAACAACCCTCCTCACTTCCTCCTTCCCCCCCCCATCTTCTCAGGGCTATCAGTCTGGAATGTGAGTCTGCTAGCTATTTCCTTTGTGTATGTCAATCACCATAGGCAAACACCTTCCTCCTCCATCCTTCAACATCTTTCTTTTACAGCAATGCAGGGGAAAAAAATAATTCCCCCTTGGTTTTTTAGAACAAGTAAACCTATGACACACACAGTAGGGAGCCTTGTGATGTAAGAGGTCAGCAAGAGAGTATCTGGATCATCCCAT